TCGACAACAATTTTTCCATATTTAGGTACATTAATTAATACATCTGTCAAAATAAAAAAAACTAATAAAATGTCTATTACATGTTTATGAGGGAATGCGTATTCAAGTATGAAATAACACAATTGCACCGATCAGATTATATACATACAAACAGAAGACAATACCTGCATTCAAAAGAGAAATCAAATTTTTATTCCAGCACCAGTATTTCATATATATTAATGGAAAAACTCACAGTTACTTAACCAATACTTGCTCCCTCTTCCCAGTTTTCTTGATTTACCTTCATTGGTCAAAATGTTATATCTTTCTGCCATGAAAAAGGCAAGGCCGCTGATATGAGCATTAAACACCAACAACTATGCAACGTATATGTCGACTATTATATTATTTGTTTGTGCGTTTCTCTGTTATGAATGTTCTTGCGTGTGTTTGTGCTGTATTTCTGTCATGTAGTGTTTTAGTGATATTTTTTAACATTGTCATTAAGCGGGAGGTTTGGCATGCCATGAAACCAGGTTCAACCCAACATTTTTTCTTTAAAATGTCCTGTACCAAGTCAGGAATATGGCAGTTGTTATCAAATAGTTCGTTTCTATTTGTGTTGGCGTTTGTTTTTGTTGCACTTCGGTGTTCCTGTTGTTCCTTTGTTTTCCTCTTATAGTTGATGTGTTTCCCTCGGTTTTGGTTTTTAACCCGGATTTGTTTTCTCTCAATAGATTTATGACTTTTGAACACCGATATACTATTGTTGCCTTTATAGTTGGTTCGTTGTCTTCGTACTACTTATATGACAGTTGTTTGTAGTTACATACCGGTAGTATAACACAAAATCAAATGATATCCGTATTGTTCAAACCAAATACTTATTAGTAAAAGATATGAACGGAATCGTTCATGCCTTTAATAAAGAAAAACATAAAACAGTTTGGACATACACAGCCTATGAAACACCTTGCAAGTAATTATTGCAACAATATCATGCACAACTTCGCATGTTGCATATGAATCGATATTCTCTGTAAAACAAGATTTCACCTACCCTGACAAATTAGACCATAGTTGGGTTTAAATAATCTGTTTAGACAATTTTTTCTTTCGATTTGCTACCTTGAATGCACTTGTGCTAGTCCAAAAAGTATTGTATTGTCTATGATATAAAAAAGTTGATTTTCCTTTCTGAAAGAATGTAAAAAATATCTTCTGACCAACCAGAACTATCAAAATCTATAATAATGGAACTACTGTCGCCCCACGGAATTTCTCTTCCTGTGACAGATTGGGAGTCGCTTTAGACTAAGTCGAATATTTTCTCCAGGAAATACTGATGTTTAACAATTGCATACCTTTTTCATATAAGAATGAAGGAACGCTTAAAAAGCTAACAGCTCCTGTTTTATTTCCATCGTTCTGTACACGAGCCTCGATAAGACCACATGGACATTGGATTTTTCCGACTGTTTGTGGTACGCTGGGATTCCTAGCGATGCCTTTATCTACTATATATCTTCCTAACGAAATAGTAGCATCTCCACACATAGGACAATATCCCCCATTATCCATTAATATAGCACCAATGTCAGCCTCGGGATGATCTGGTGGAACCAATAGCACAGCAAAAAAATCAAAGTGTCCTCGAGGTTCCAACATCAAGAGCTTACGCGGATGATCATATTCTTGCTTCAGGTAGTTGATCTTTTTTACAAGTGTGTCTCCTGGTATTTCTGGATATCCATTTTCTATTATTCTGATCGGCTGCCCACCAGTATGCATTTCAGTTGTTACATATGTTGCCATGTCTATGAATAACAGCAGATATTTTACTTTTTGTCAGAAAAATTCCAATATTATCTGACTAAATATATTAAGAAGTTATGAAAATTCCGATTGTAAAAGAAAAATCTAAAAGATCTATTCATACCTTATATGTATGATGACAGTATTCGGAATTTAAGTTCATTAATATGTGAAATACTTAATGTTAGGCTTAAACAATTGCTATGATTGTTAGTTTTTATCTGGCAAGTTGTTTTATGAAATTTAATTGAAATTAGTAATCAAAATATAAATAAAATGGCGTTTTTATATTTCCATCATACAGAAATTTCTGTACAAAATCAATGCAGACCATGTGACTTAGATAAATTTTAAAAATCTCAGACTTGAGGGTTTTCCAATGGTAAGTGGTGAAGAAAGTAAATAAGGCTTTGAAGCGGGAGGTATGGCTAGCCACAAAACCAGGTTCAACCCACCATTTTTTTTCTTAAAATGTCCTGTACTAAGTCAGGAAAATGGCCATTGTTATATTGTAGTTCGTTTCTGTGTGTGTTACATTTTAATGTTGTGTTTCTGTTGTGTCGTAGTTCTCCTCTTATATTTGATGTGTTTCCCTCAGTTTTAGTTTGTAACCCGGATTTGTTTTTTTCTCAATCGATTTATGAATTTCGAACAGCGGTATACTATTGTTGCCTTTATTTGAAATCTTCTCTCCGCGTTTTTTTTTTTATATTAAAAAGATAAACATAAAATGTCATGTTGGTAAGTAATTGGAGAGATGCAGAATGATATATCTTTTAAATGAAAAAGTTAAAAATTTACACTGGTATTTCCTAGAACAAGCAAACCTTACATCAACAAGAAAGACGGTATTACAGTTCCATCATCATAAAGATAAATGAACCCATTTGCAATACCGATACACGCTTAAATAACAGATTATTTGATCAATATAAAGTTCTTTCGGGAACACAGCAAATTATGATATTAATTCAAAATTTTAAATCAATTGCTTTTTAAAATTTTATAAAAAGATGTACTCGAAAAGGAATATCGAATGTTATCTTTTTACAAGGTGCCATATGTCAAGCAGGATCTGCTTACCCTTCCGGAGCACCTGAGATCACCCCTAGTTTTTGGTGGGGTTCGTGTTGCTAAGTCTTTAGTTTCCTATGCTGTGTGTTGTGTACTGTTGTTTGTCTTTTGGTCCTTTTCTTTTTTCTTTTTTTTTTTGCCTCTTTCAATTTAATTGCACAAAAAATCAAATCAATATCTGATATGAAAACTGAAAGATGAACAAAATTATCACTTTCAAATCCTTGTCAAGCTAAAAGGTAAACGGGAACAAACCGGACAGATCTGTGATTACAAACCAAACAGATATGTGATTGTACACTGCAAAAATTAAGATCTACTATAGATCACACTATCCACATAGATTGCTGGAAACGGAGTTGTCTCTTTCACTTTAATTGCACAAAATATAAAATCATCATCTGATATGAAAACTGAAAGATGAACAAAATTATCACTTTCAAATCCTTGTAAACCAAAAGGTAAACGGGAACAAACCGGACAGATCTGTGATAACAAACCAGACAGATATGTGATTATACACTGCAATAATTAAGATCTACTATAGATCACACTATCCACATAGATTGCTGGAAACGGAGTTGCCATTTTCACTTTAATTGCACAAAATATAAAATCATCATCTGATATGAAAACTGAAAGATGAACAAAATTATCACTTTCAAATCCTTGTAAAACCAAAAGGTAAACGGGAAAACACCGGACAGATCTGTGATTACAAACCGGACAGATCTGTGATTGTACACTGCAAAATCTACTATAGATCAGGAAACGAAGTTGTTGTGTTCATGACCAGTACTGTAATGTTGGTGGAAAATATGCTTTCATTTTGAAAGCAGTTAATTACATCTGTCATCTCTTGTCATGTCTGTTTTGTATTACTTAAAGTCTTTACGTCGGGCTTGTTATAACAGTTTTTTAGGAGTTCTTTTACTGCTTTGCCTATTATTTCTTATTTACAAATTGTGACTTGGTTGGAGAGTTGTCTCATTGGCACTCATACCACATCTTCTTATATCTATATATTGTGAGAAACTTGACATTGTGTTCCCTTGATTCGTTATTAGTTGTCAAACATTTTAGATAATTCCTGTTATTTTTTATGTACAAATGTATAATGCGCTATTAATATTAAACAGTTTCACATTCTCTAAATTCTGATTAAAAATATGTAACACGCTCAGTGGGTCTCGCCAACAGTTTGACGCCATGTTTTGATATGAAAATCATTCTTGCAGAATTTATTAATCGAGCAGATTAGACAACAGTTATGAATGTTTTTATTTCGATTTAAGATAATAAACGATTAAGATTTACATAATACTAAAATTCAAAGACCCCGTAAATTTCATATTTCGTTGATTTACAAAAGACAAAAGATTTTCTGAAACATAATTTGTTTCAGAAAGCAACAATCAAGCGGACGAAATCGAAATCACCTAAGATGAGTTGTGGTTGATATGGTTTTCCTTTCTTGTTTTCGCAGCCCAAAATCTATATAAATTTCATGCTTACTTAATATATCTTTACTCACGATCTTTGTTTTATCCTCGGTAACAGATGAATTATTCAGGTCAAGTTTGTTGAAGCATATAGTGCACCAAAATATAGTTGCTTTTTTTTTATAATGAAAGACATTCAGGTATTAATGTGCAAAACAAAATCTTAAATGTATATATCTATATATATATATAGTTGAATGAAAAGAGATGTGGGGTATTTGAACCATGAAAGTAAAATCTAAAATTACCCAGAAATCAGCATAGTACAGTTTTAATCAACAGATAATTGTCTATACAACTGTCAAGTACTCAACGATCGAAAAGTCTATTTAATAAAGAAATGAATGCTGGTTTTATTTAATTAAACAAATGAAAGCAAGTGACCTTCATATTTTTCACGAAGCGCACACGTGGCAGAAGTACTTGGTAAAATGTGATGCATCCAATTCGTATAAATTTTCGAGCACACAGAGTTCAAATCTAATATTTACAGATTTTCGAAATGTAAAACATATATGTGATTAACATTTTGAATCTTAAAGTAAATCTTGTAAATACAAAACTTCGGCAGAAATTGTATAGTGAGATGTAAACAGAGGAATTCCGCGTGAAATCAGTTATAGTATGTCATATAACTGAAATTGGGATATTAAGATGTTAATTTCAAGTACTAGTAAATAGGTCGTAAAATATTTATCAAATTTCAATCATTTTTATTCATTTATATAACACTGTTTATGATAATGATTTGTTGTTTTATATTTGTATCAATTATCCATATTTACAAGATATACTCTCATTTTTTTTCAAATTGATAAAATTTGCAATTTTTTAAAAGCACAACATTTTGCATAAAGTGCTTGAACAATAATAAAAAGTAGTGCTAATCATTTAGATAGGCGAGATTTATTATTCTATAATCTTTGGTTTTTTTTTCTCATACGGTATGGGTATTTTTCATACAAAATGAAATCATATGACGTGCTTTGAATGTTGCACCTGTGATACTTTCAAATGTCCTTGTTTGACCAAGTTTTATCAATCCCCTACCAAACTGCTGTGCTATCCTAGATGTAACACCTGATCCACAAGGAGAGCGATCCAACTAAACAATAAGTATAAATCTAATGTAGCAATTGTATATTTTCATCATCTAATCAAGTTTCATATAATATCAAAGGTGAACATATGGGTCATTCTAGGTAGCCCTTCTAGTTTTTTCCCGTTCATTAAAATTGTTCCATATAATAGCTTTTGCCAGTAATTCGTTAATTCTCTGTATTGTATCTTCCATGTTTAGGAGTTCTGTTCCTGAGAGCATTTAACTAGTTTCATTTCATATGATTACAATACTTTCCTTTGGCCTACCTTTTTTTTTTTTTTTTTTTTTTTTTAACTTTTTTGGAAATTCTTATTACTAACTACAGCAATTAGAATTAAACTTCCCACATTAAAGTCGTTATATTTTTGCGTGTTATATGCTCACCCAATTTTGTCAATATAACGAAACTATAAACAACTGGCATACAAATAGGAGGTTTAGCTATCTATAAAACAAGGTTTAACCCACCATTTTCTTCGAACAATTCCTGTACCAAGTCAGAAATATGACAATGGGTCCCCATTCGTTACATTGGATGATAAAGTATAACATTTGATTTTGTCAATTCAAATGGCCGTCTCCTTTTTGAATTCACCTTTTAGATGTTTTTTTTTTGTTGATACATAGAAGTACATATAATTGATTTCCAGATAAAAAAAAAAACATCTGGATCAACTGAAACGTAACAATTACAGAAGGCAAAAGGCATTGCCCTTAGTATTTACTAAAAAAAGAAATTATACATCAAATTTATTATTTACCATTCTATCCGCAAATACACAGCAATTAGCAGTTACTTCTTCACTGTATTCATCTTTTCCATCAGTGATGATAGCTGCATACATGTATGATAGATCACTGTAATATGGATGCACTACTTTACAATCTTTTCTCAGCTGTTCTGCAATACAATGAATATGATGTATTCAGCAATCTTGTCATAACAAGAATAAGCAAAAATATAGCAGGCCACACAATCACCAATAACTAATCATCTGGAGAGAAAAAAGACATACAAAGAAAGCCGAACAACAACGAACAACACATAGTCCAGGTAGCCCTCTGAACTTGCACAGACACAAAATGTGGGTGTTTTGAAGCCATTCATGGCAATTTTAAAACTTAATTTTGGTGTCATGGATAACAAAGTGACGTTGATTAGAAGGCAGATAAATCAGACTATGAAAGCCCAAACAATCCAGTCATTATATTACTCTTATATTGGTGGAAAGAATCGAAATTGTCAAGGACTTTATTTGTCGAGTTTGATATACGCTGTTATTTCTGTCTTGAATTTTACCGATTCCTTAATATTTTGTTCGGTGTTTGACTGTTAAATGTAACATTTCAAAGGACATGATAATTTTTATAATTAGCACATTGTGGTTGCAGGCTAAGGTGTCATTTTCATGCATGCCAAGCTCAGTTGGAGTAGTATTATCCCGATTCTTAAGAAGTAGATAAACATTATTCGTGTTTGCAACCTGTCAAATATCTTTAAACTGTTTATCAAACTGGAGTAACTTTATATAATATCCAGAATATATATGGGGTACCTAACGTTGCTCCTATTGCTGCCCTGATCTTCCTGGCGGAAGATTTAATTTCCATATTAAACTGTGAAGCAGGCACCAAGGCAAAGAACCCGCCACCAAAGGAAATGTCGACGACAATCCTTCCATATTCTGGTACATCAACTGACACATCTGATGTAATATAAAAAAATGCAATATTTAATAAAATATATTATTGTATAAACCGATTAAGATGATATACAGATGCAATAATTTTGAATTATTTTTACGATACGTTCATCTCATTATTGTCATTCAAATACTACTGTATTATAGAAGATTGTCTCACTCCATTATATAAGTATTGATGTCAAAAAGTAAAATGATACCTCTGATATACTGCTAAATAAACAGAAACGACAATTTAAAAGAATGCCTACAAATAATATCATAAAAAGACAAATTAGCATTTAGCATTTGCGTATCAAATAATGATACTATAAAGTCATGAGCAACTACATGACAATTCTTTTAAAGTCTCTGTTTAATTCCTTCAAAATTTATTTATTCGCGGGATATAGAGCTTGACATATTGTGTATAAACTTGTCTGTTGCTGAAGATCTTTATATATTTATATCTTTTTCTTTTAACATTTTGTATGGTTAGGTTGTTGTCTCATTGACGTATATCTCACCCTTCTCTCTGTCCAACTCATTCTTCACACAACCAAGAATCCACCAACACACGCAAACATACATAGCGTGAAGAGAAGTTGTGATTGATTATTAGTATTTTGGACCTGTCAATCTACAGAACTGAGGCTAATTTGTATTTTGAATTATTGTGAGATTTGAATTTTTTATTCTTATTTTGAGATGGTAAAAATTGACAACTTGATGACTAAAAGTTTGAAAAAAATTGAATAAAAATAATTTTTAATTAGGTTGTCCGTTTTTAATCTCGTGAATTTATCCTTTTCTTGGGTAAAAACATAGGGAACCCATATACAGAAGAGGTACTACATGTGTGTGTAGTGGTCACACCAGTTATTATTGTTTTTTACATCTTACCTTTTGCGTATAGAAAGGCAGGGACACTTAGAAAGCTAACAGCTCCACTTTTCTTCCCATCGTACTGCACACGAGCCTCCACAAGACCACAAGGACATTGTATTCTTACAACTGTTTCGGGTATGGTAGGGTTCTTCACAATGCCTTTATCAACCATGTATCGTCCCAACGATATAACACCATGTCCACACATGGGACTATACCCCTCATTATTTATGAATATAACACCAATATCAGCATCCGGATGATCTGGGGGAACCAGTATTGCCCCGAACATATCAAAATGTCCTCGTGGTTCCCACATTATGAGCTTACGTGGGTGGTCATATTCTCTCTTCAGGTAGTTGATTTTATCCAATATTGTGTCTCCGGGTATTTCGGGATACCCCTTTTCTACAATTCTAAATGATTCCCCTCCAGTATGCATTTCGGTTGTAACATATGTTGCCATGTCTGTAGTCTACACAAAAATTGGAGTTCAGATAAAAGAGGACAGACAGGTTTGTTTACCATTCACAAAATGACCTAATTATAGCGTTTGTTTATGTGTACACATATAATAAGATACTAAGTTAACTGATTTATAAGGGATACAAGTCTGTGAAAACAAACACACAAAGACATAAACATTTGAAAGCTATATATATATAAGGGAAAATTATTAAAGTGTGTTGTTCGACCTGCTCGATCTCGTTATGGTGAGTAAAATTTGAAATATATCTGTTTGACTGTATATTTCAGTTATAAAGATTTGTATCGTGCCAGAACATTTTGAAAAAAAAATAACTGCTGAAAATATCATAATCATTTAGTACAATAACAAAAATACCGAACTCCAAGGAAAACTCAAAACCGAAAGTCCCTTAACAAATGGTTAAATCAAAAGCTCACCAAACGAATGGAAAAATAGCGGTTACTGTAATAAAGCAGCGTTGCGTTTACATATCGTGGAGACTATTTCACATGAGTCTCAAAGAAAATGTTGTTATCTTCTATATACAGCAAAGCTGTTGTAAAACTCCTTATTTGTCAGTATGTTTAAAAAATATAAAAGAAAGTTTCTACAAATTGCACAAATATAATAAATCCGTTTATTAATAGCAAATATTCAAGAAGTAAAAAAAAATCTTGAAATTTCAATGATGATGCTATTATTATATTTTTTTCCATTTATCTATTCAATTTTTTAATACAAATTATCTAGACAATGGATTAAATTTAGTTAAGTACATTTAGTTAAGTACAATAAAACTTGACTCTTGCAATACAAAGAAAGGACATAATAACGTGTATTGAAAACAGTGGTAGTTTTTTGTCCAACACCAATTGTCAATATGAATAAAAGAAAAGATTGGGCATGAGTCAATGAGTTAGCAAACCTTGACACCAAAACAACATCTCTAGGTCTATCCAGCGTCTGTAACAAAAAACAACTTTTATATATATAAATTATGGCAAATACTTAGTTCAACCCGAGTCTAGGCGAGTAATGAAAAAATAAAAAAAAACACTATAATAATTGATATTTATCATGCCATTGTGTATAAATCTTATACAGTAAAGAAAGTTCGAGCAACAGTCGAGTCATGCTTGAATTTCTTATAAGTCTGTGTTACAAATAAGCCAATACGCAATTGTGAGAATACAAAGAAATATTGAAAACAGTTTATTGTTACATGTTTAAATGGTTCTATACCACGGGGTATAACCGCCGAACAGTTATTTCCGGATGTTAATCGCGGTAATCGCTACATCGCGAAGCAATGTTGGTAGATATACCTTTCTTATATTTACATCAAAGACTAATTGACTAACTGTTCAGTTAAGTATTCAATGTTTATGAAAATAAAGTTAATTGCTCCTGGCAGCATTGTATATCATTTATATTACATGATCACCATGTGACTATTTTAAATAGACAGGTCTGTGAATTACTTGTAAACATCGCGAAACAAACATGTGTAACTCAAACTTGATTAAACTACAAATAGAGCATAGTTGGTTGGCTCTTTCACTAAATGCGACCGTGTATTTTGTGCTTTGTTGTTCTTAAAATGCATAATACGAATAAGAAACCCGTTGTTTTAATTTTATTTGAAGACATCTCCTTGAAAAACTGACCTCAGAATTTTGACACTGTACGATTCATTCTCTTTGTAGTTTGTTTTCTTTCTTTAGTACCGTTCATTGTACATTCTTGTACTGTTCGTTGTGTAAACGCCTATCAATAAGCGAGTTATAAAACTTTTCAAAGAAAATTCGTCGTAGAAAAACGTTATATTCATGGATGTTCTGCTCCAGTAAATTTTCGGATCCATGACAAGCTAATAGCAAACTCACCAACAATATTTGAATATTCATGATATGAACGTGGTTATACCCGTGTATATTCAAGTAAGCATCTACGACTAGCTTGCATTTCAAATTGTAAATATCATCAATATTAAAGTCATTTAAAAACTATTTTCAGTTGTTGTATGTCAAATAATCATATAAAACGACAATGAAAATTCATCGCACTTCCAAAAATTCCACATCAGAAATGATTGCACTTACAGTGATAATTCATCTCATCTATAGTTAAAATAAATCGCATTCAGTAATCAATATTATTGATTCTGCTGCTTAAATAACACTTTTTTTGGACTTTAATTCTGTTATTATACATTAAAAAGTTATATTCTAATGAAATTCTGTTAAAACATACATTCAAATCTATTATTTTGTATTTTCAAAAAGTAAACAAACGCAGTTTTTCCCATCATCCTTTATTCTACAATAGACATACTCGCATACAACAGTGAAAATGAACTAACTGGATTCGCACTTTATATACACTGTAAAATTACAATACGTTGTTAATACGTTTCCATGGGAGATAACCTAAAAAATTAACCTTTTGAATATAGAAGACTTTTCGAAAGAAAAATTGATTATCTCCCATGGAAACTTCCTAACAACGTATTCTAATTTCACACATATTTTACTGAATATAAAATGTTTTAAATCAAATGATGTCTGATTCTTATGAATATAGAAGACCTTTCGAAAGAAAAATTGTATGAAAGCTTAGTTTGGACATTTTTATAGCAATTCAAAATTTCTATCCATCACCTTTAGCATGACAATAACAATAAAATTTCTATACAAACTGTTAGACTGATTATTCATAATAACATTGAAGTGGAATTAAAGTCTTATAGGATTGTAAGTGTGCTTTATTTTATCACCTTGCACTTTCACGACTTGACTGTGGTTTTCTACAGCAGTCTGTTCAAATTTCTGACCAGTTGAACAGTTTGGTTTTATAAAACAAATTGCAATTTGGTCAGAATTTTGAATAAGTTGCAATTGGTGGAGAGCAACACTAACAGTCAAGTCACAGTAATTAATTTGGAAAGCTCAATAGGCCTACAATAAATCATAAGAACTTAATAGCATAAACAGTCTGACATGATTTGTATTGTCCTTTGGTATCTTTTATTTTTCACTGTATGATATACTCAAGGTGAAAGAGTTTAAAAAGACAATACAAAATAGAATGTCATGGAAGCGGTTCTTGCTAAAAATGAGATCGCCACATGCTTTCGTTTCGTATAAAATAAAATATATCTATATATATATAAAAAGTCTAAATTGAAAACAACGTTCAAACCTATGATTGCGTTGGATAAAAACCGCAATTTTTATACGTGTGCATGTAAAACAAATTTCTTGGTAGAGGGGTATAAATACAGCACAAACAACAATTTCCAAAAGACCAAAAAAAGTGAAAAAGTCTATTTTAACAAAACGCATTTGACTAACAGGTCGAACAACTGATGTTCTTAAACTCTGCTGACTGCCATTGGCGATTGCCAAATAAACTGATCACCAGATCTAACAAAATGGATCTTAATATTATTTTAATACCAAACAGAAAACAATAAACTTGTGGAAACGATGGTATACCACAAACATGAGGTGCAAAAATTTGTACACCATATCCGGATTTCGACAATAAATGTCTCTTAAGTGATGTTAGGGATCGAAACGGTATTTGGAAGGCCATATAATTTACCTCAATTTAGTATAGACTCTTGAATTTTAAAGAGTCGAAATAGGATGAACGAATCATATAAACCCGAATGAAAATATAATACAAGCCCAAACAAAAAATATAAAAAGTCTAAATTGAAATCAACGTTCAAACCTATGATTGCGTTGGATACAAACCGCAATTTTTATACGTGTGCATGTAAAACAAATTTCTTGGTAGAGGGGTCTAAATACAGCACAAACAACAATTTCCAAAAGACCAAAAAAAGTGAAAAAGTATATTTTAACAAAACGCATTTGACTAACAGGTCGAACAACTGATGTTCTTAAACTCTGCTGACTGCCATTGGCGATTGCCAAATAAACTTATCACCAGATCTAACAAAATGGATCTTAATATTATTTTAATACCAAACAGAAAACAATGAACTTGTGGAAAAGATGATATACCACAAACATGAGGTGCAAACATTTGTACACCATATCCGGATTTCGACAATAAATGTCTCTTTAGCGATGTCAGGGATCGAAACGGTATTTGGAAGGCCATATAATTTACCTCAATTTAGGATAGACTCTTGAATTTTAAAGAGTCGAAATAGGATGAACGGATCATATAAACCCGAAGGAAAATATCATACAAGCCCAAACAAAAAATATAAAATATATATCCCTTGTGTTATTTTATAACAAAAATACCGATTCAATTCAAAAAGGGGAAGTCCCTAAAAACTGAAAAAACCAAACGGTAGACTATATCAACCGAAGGAACGACTGGAAAACAACTGTCATATTGTCATATTCCGGACTCAGTATAGACATTTTCCGAAGATAATGGCTGGCTAAACCTAGTTTTACAGCTAGCTAAAGCCCCCTACTCGTATGACAGTTGCCTTTGTGTTATAAACAATTTGAATCTGAAGGTAAAACTTTTAACAACACTTTCGAAAAATTGTCTAGTGAGATAATTATAGAATCATTCCAAGTGAAATCATATACGTTATACAGCTGAAATTTGCATAACGAAGATGCCGATTTCAATTAAAGTAAGTTGCTTGTAAATTATTTATCAAACAATGATTATCATATACATGTATATCATGGGATAATGATTTATTGTCACATACTCATATCAATTATTCATATATACAAACAAAATGTATATTGTCAATAACTTTTTCGAATTAATTAAATTCATTATTGTTTATAACAAAACCATTTGCACGAAGTTCACGAACAATGTGCAAAATAGTGTTTGTTCATTAGGTGGGCGGGGCTAATAATAACTTAATGTGTGCCGGTGGTTTTCATACAAATCGGAAACAAATAACGTAATCATCCTGAAAAAGATCATCATTTGTATGAATGTACACCTCCTGAAAACCCAAAAGAAAGGCTAAAAATGACAAGTTAAAACCGTTTAATATTTTAATGTTGAGTTTATTTATTGCAGGCATCTTCTTATATCTATATATTAATTAAGTAAGAACCCCGTTCCAATTTTGTCTTCTCCTTCCAATGTAAACTTTGATGTTCCGGTATAGTATCCATTTCCAGAAACTTCCACTATAACAGCACTGTAATCACCATACGTCACTTCCTTTGAGGGCTTTGCGGTGAATCTTGTACTTGTCGGTCCCTCGAATGTCCGTGTTTGTCCTATTTTTATAAGATTTCTGGTATATTGTTGCGCTATCCTTGCTGTTACCCCAGACCCACACGGGGAACGGTCAACCTAGACGAAAAATAACAATATTTTTACGCATATTTATATGCACATTCTACAGTATCTAATACATCTTTTATTCTTTTGAATTACGTTTTTTTAAAGGTAGATCAGTTGTCTTCCACCATCTTGAATTGTAAAATAGCAGAAAACAATCGGTCTAGAACTTTAATGAAATATGCAAATTTTGAGAGAGAGAGAGAGAGAGAGAGAGAGAGAGAGAGAGAGAGAGAGAGATTATGTATACGACTTTTTTTGCACAAAAAGAATATTTTTGTTAGATTAAATTTTTGACCCGCTTAGATATATAAGGGGAGATAGCTCAAATAATTTAACGTTTTTAAAGGAAAGTGTAGTGATTTTATCTATTTTGTTTTGTAGCAAGAAAACGAGTTCCGTCACTCGAATCTTTTTATTTTTATTTTTTGGAAACATATTATAAGAGCTATCTTCTCATATGTTACATTAACATTTGATCGTTTATTTTTCTCAGTCGGCTCACACAAATTAGGTTTTCCATATGTAATCTTTACAAAATCTGACAATTTTGCCCAACCTGTAGCTTGAAAAATAGCCTGTGACCCATACTTTCTATTATATTTTTGAATAAAAGCATTATATATGGTACATTTTGACAAAGTATTATAAGATTCTATCGGTTTTTGTTTTTAAATCTGGACCACCTATCTACTTTAACATACATAGACAATAACTGTTTAGTGTCTTTAAATATCAGCTGTATTTGTACGAGGCTAAGAAACGGGTTTAATGCGAGCTTGAGCGAGTTATTACTCCTGTTTCGAGCCGAGTACAAATGCAGCTGATATTTAAAGACACTAAACAGTTATTGTCTTTATCCTGCAATTAATTTTGTACATTTTTTTCCATCCTTATCGTTGAATTTGTTTTTGAAAGAAATCGACATGACTTAAACGCGGACCGCAATGAGGACCCCAAATTGAACCGTGACGTAAACAGTCATTTGACATAACCGTTCGCATGCAGGATACCAGGAGACTATATACGTCTAGTATACGTATATCGCTTCGTGTTATCTGTACACCTGTATTAATATAGTAGAAAGGTCGATTGCAGGATAAAATAAAATAGTTTCAAAATACACGATGTAACAGTAATTGGAGACAATTTCCAAAAACATCATAAGTAAACATTACATTATAGTGTAGCTTTACTTTTCAGTGTTGTTGTTTTTTTGTTTTTGTTTTTATTTTGTTTAATGTTTCTTTTTTTCTTGTTTTTTTTTTTTTTGGGGGGGGGGGGGGGTGTTGTATATTCAGAAACTATAGCGCGCATTCATTATTGCGATTTTTTAAGAATGTACGAAACTGCGAGATTAATTATTGCGATTTTCGGGAAAAGCTGCATGCAGATGTATGTAGCAGATATCAGAATGCTCGTTTTTATTATTGCGATAAATATATATTTTTGAGTGTTGTATGTTATTAGTGCAATTCATCCATAAAATATTGAATGAGAACGTACTTTTTTATGACAATTCATCAGTTGTTTGTGTAGTATCGCGTTAAAGTATTACATTAAATGACAAGTATTACATTAAATGACAATGTTCACAATGTTTGAGTGCTCACAAACATGTTCAACCCTACCACGTTCTGTATGTGCCTGTCTCGAGTAATTAGCATGTAGTCTAGTGGTTATCGTTGCTTGCCATCTACCATAAGATGATTTTAGCTTAAATCAGGTCCTTAGACTTCTCTTAGATTGTTTCCCATTTTGTTATGGAGAGACCTTTTAAAGCTAACTATACTATAAATATAAATTTCAGGAGCCTGTAATTCAGTGGTTGTCGTTTGTTGTTGTTTATCATATTTGTTTTTCGTTCATTGTTTTTGGACATACATCAGGTCGTTAGTTTTCTCTTTTAAATTGTTTAACTGTTTTCATCCCGGGGGCTTTTATGGCTTACTAAGCGGTATGAGTTTTTAACATTGATAAAGGCCGTATGGTGACTTCTACGTCATTTGGTCTAGGGTGGAGAGTTGTCTCATTGCCAGCAATACCACGTCTTCTGTATTTTTATACGTATATTGTTCAATGTTGAAGGCATATGTTGCCTTAATTTGTCTACGTCCCTGTCTTTTGATCTTTGGTGGATGTTTTATGGTTGTTAAACTAAGATGCCTCACAATGCTGCACATGTTGTAATTGATTTTCTGATATGCCTTTAAATCTTTTTTTTTTTTTTTTTCATCTTATTTAATTTCAGTTACGTTTTACCTATATATCATGTCAGAATATATCACTCTTCATCTTCGTCGTAATTTGGCGTTTTAAACTTTTTTGATTCGAGCGTCACTGATGAGTCTTTTGTAGACGAAACGCACGTCTGGCGTACACAATTTTAATCCTGGTATCTATGATGAGTTTATTCACACAATGTGCATGTGTACATACCTCTCGTTCAGCAAACACACAAACATTCCAGGAGACATCTTCGGAGTACTGATCTTTACCGTCAGTGACAATAGTGCCATAAAGAAAGGCTAGATCTTCACTATCTGGATGTGTCAGCTTAAGCTGTTTCTTCAGTGCATCTAAATTTAAAGTGCTAATAATATAAATTGCTGATTACGAGTATATTATTTATGTATTAGAATAGCTTTATATTTAATTTTAACAGTTTGATTATGGAGAGATGTATTCATATTTTATGTGCATACTTTCCTACACTTTTATTTCAAACATTGTTTCTTTACGGATAACAGCATTTGCCATTTTAAAATACGGCGTGTAAATTCATGACACAAATCCCTAAACACACTTTAAAAACTAGAGTATAAGGAACAACTATTTTTTTGGCTAATCTTCAACTGAATTTTAGAATTGGGACTTCAAAAAGCAGCAACCCTAACACATCACTGCAAGTTCAAGGCGGTCCGTGGCACCGGTTTGAGAAAATAATGTCGCGTTGAGTGACATCTGTGCATTAAAGTATGTTTTCTAAGAGCACAGTCAAAATTGCTCTTGTTTCAGTTAATCAATATAGTCAATATACTTATTTTCAATTAATAAAATCAGAAGCAAATTGGAAATTATGTATGATAGCTCAAGCTATCTACATGCAGCTTAAAATAATAACCTCTTATAATCATACCAAAGAGAGATTTATTGTGCGTCTTCGTGAAGACCAAATCAGTTTTACGTATCATGTAAGCATTTCATAATAAATGCCAGTGTTGATATATTTGAGCCAAAATAAAACATTGTTGACCCCTTAATGGTTGTTCATTTTACACTAAAAAAATATCAAAAAGCACTTTTTACGAAAATTCATATAATATAAAATACTGAAAAGAATTTATAAATACATTACAGTAACATATATTTTGTATTTAGTGGCGGATTTGATTGGAAAATATATATTTATTAAGCAAAAAATCGTCAAAAAAAATTACATTTTTTTAAATTACGCCCCCTTTCATCCTGGGTCCGCCCCCTGGCATTTATCTTTCATCAACTTAAGTGCCATATTATCGTGACGTAATCGCAATGATATCTTACCCGTAGTGGCACCGGCGGCATCTCTTATTTTCTGTATAGTCGCATTCCTGTCCATCTTGTACTGTGACAAAGCTACTAAAGCATAAAACGCGCCACCATATGATATATCTACTGTAATTTTCCCGTAACTAGGAACATCAACCGAAATATCTGTAAAAAAAAATAATCATTGCTAAAAGGATTGTGAATCTTCTGATTTTGTTCATAATTTGGTCATTTTTTTCCCTCACACTTTAGGAAAATTTGGCAGCTGTATATAAATGAAAAAAAGATACAATAAAAAAAGAAAGTGCCTTAAAACGGTCGCAAGGATTTTATCGAGATACTTTGGAAAGATGTTTTTCTTCAGTTCGATAACACAGTTACTCCTCAAATATTTAGTAGAACGAATCGATTTCTTTTGGTTGTAAGGTATGTCCATTCCATAAGAGTTAGTAATTTTTTAGCTTATCCTATAGAAACTCACCTTTAGCAAATAAAAATGCCGGAACACTGAAAAACCTTACAGTTCCTGTTTTCTTTCCGTCAAATTTGACATAAGACTCAACCAATCCACAAGGGCACTGTATGTTAACTTTTGTTTCAGGAATTGTTGGGTTCTTTACTATTTCTTTATCTACCAGATATCTGCCTAAAGATAGCACCGCATGACCACACATCGTGCTGTATCCTTGATTGTGCATAAATATAGCACCTACATCGGCAGACGGGATGTCTGGTGGAACTAATAGCACTCCATACATGTCAAAATGTCCTCTTGGTTCAAACATCAATAGTTTCCGCTTGTCCTCCATTGTATTCTTCATTGTTTGAATCTTTTCTAATATAGTTGCACCAGGAATGTCGGGATATCCTTTCTCGATTATCCTCAAAGGCTCTCCACCAGTATGCATTTCGGTAGTAATAAATTCAGCCATAGTAATATATATATATATAGTGATATACCGGCCGTAAATACACAACACTATATATAGCTAATCTTCCCCAGAGGCCAATTATGGGGTGACTTAATACTTTAAAATGAAGACATAAAGACCTGTAGAGAGAACTTGATACACCATATTAGTATATTACCTCTTACACGAAACTGAAGTATGTCCTAAATAATGAACTTTATCGCATATATTAAAAGTTTGAATACATGTTGAATGAACGGTGCACCATCTCTCATAAATCATTTATCCTGGCCTAAATTTGAATAATGAATTATGTAGCTCTACTTTTTATTCCTTAAATCACTGTCGAATTTAGAAAAAAATGAAAATGGATGTTCTTCAGTTATTTGATCGTATCATTTCTATTGGTAATGTTTATCTAAACTGCTATCGATTCGTCCTGAATATGTATGAAATATTTGCCACTGGATGTTTAGCAAGCAATAATCAATCCATTTAATCGAACAATTAATTGAAAAATAAAACTAATGAAGAGAATCCGGAAAAGGAAAAGTAAAGAAATTTATTCTTGACTGGCTTGCAGATATATCGTACTTTGGTGAATATGCTCAAGCAAAAAAATTTATACTTACAACCTCAGAAATGTTAAACCATAAAACTAGAAATTCCATGTATTAATTGAAATATCCTCTCTGTCAAATTATACAGCTTCATTTTATATGTTTGGATACTCCCAAAGTACAACGATTGATATGATAAAAAAAAAAACTCATTAAAAAAACCAGTTCCTAATTTTGTACACCAGACCCACATTTCGTCGACAACCAGTGAAGCTCGAATAAATGTTAGAGACCAAATAAACGGCACGAAGTTGAAGAGCATTGAGTTCAAAGATGGCTTTGGCAAATTTAGAGGTCAAGGACAAATGTTTTATATATGTGATTCGAAACTGAAACAGAATGTGGCGATGTTGATTGGCTGACGAATATATAAAAAATAATTTATGTAAGATTTGAATAAATGATCATTAAGGTTTTAGGCTAGGGACATTAATTTCAGATGTGTACGGTAGTCTGAGAAAAAGATTATACTTTTGTTGAGTTCGAAATCCATTACCATCATCATTATTGGAATAAGTGCCACGCTTTCTGCGAATTAAAGAACCAATGCAACAACTCTTTGAGGGATCCGTAGGTGGCCTGTTGCAATTGAAAATTTCTATCCCCATCGAACAAACATTATTTTTCTATGGCAGTAACAATTTCCCGCCCTTCATCTTGCAGGACCTACCTTTTGTATTGATTGTTAAAAGTTTTCAATTCTGTATATGTATGAAAAAAATTGCCATTGGACGTTAGGCAAGGAACAATCAATCAATCATTTTAAACGTACGATTGTTGATAATCCCATGGTATCCTCAAACTATTTTTCTGTTCATGAAGATATAAAAATAATATTCAAGAGACAACACCATGACCAAAAAGAAAGAAAAACAACACACAACAAAACATTACACAGAAAACAAATGATTTGGCAACACAAACCTCCATCCAAAACCAGGAAGGAATTCAGTTGCTCCCGAAGGGTAGGTAGTTCCTGCTCCATTAGTAGCACCCGTCGTGCTACTCGTTTTATACTGATGCTGGAACACTTCCTGTCGTCTTTATATCCAAAAAATAGTAACAAACGGTTATGTGCAATGTAAATTTTCATGCCACATCATCCAAACTCCGAAACAGTGGTAACGTACTCCTTGCTACGCTACATTGACTAGAACGAAGCAACGTCACAGCTGTTTCTGAGTTTTTGCATCAACATCCTTCACTCTTAATGACTCATTTTTGAGAAACTTTTGCATGAAACCCCCCGGTTTTTGGTGGGTTCGTGTTGCCCAGTCTTTAGCTTTTTATGTTGTGTTTTGTAAACTGTTGTTGGACTTATTTTCATCGTTTTTGTTTTTATTTTTTTTTGCCATGACATTGTCAGTTTTGTTATCAACTTATGAGTTTCAATATCTTATGCTATTTTTCGCCTTTCACTTGAAGGGCTCAGAAATCTTCGACCTTCCCCAGTTTCTGAGCCTTATACAAAAGTTGATATTATTCTGACATTGACCTGATAATGGGGATACAATTTTCGATATCTAAATAAAATCAGTTTTTGTCGTACCTTTTCCTTTAACAAAAACTTACCTTCTTCAAATACAAACAATTTAATTTTGGATGTATCACGTCTTCTGATTGGCTGAAAGTTTTTTGTCTATCACCTCATAGACATAATTTTGTCATGTGACCGTCATTAACATTTTTTCATGATTTATTCTTTAAAAATGGAATTAAGATTTAAATTATAAGGAAAGACTGTAATATTTTTTCTGTCTATTCGAAATTCGAAATAACCTCAAAAATGTAGTACACACTTTTAAATAACCCGCTACTCGGGTTATTTAGTGTGCACCACATTATTGATATTTCTTCATAGAAATACCTTCGATCGTCATTCATTGTATTTTTCATAGTTTGAATCTTTTCTAATGTAGTTGCACTAGGATTCCTGGAATGTCGGGATATCCTTTCTCGATGATTCTAAGAGGCTCTCCATCAGTTTACATTTCGGTAGTAACAAATTCACCCGTGCAACGGTTTTGGAAATATTTACTGCCGAACAGTTTATGAAATGTTTCAGTAAAAAGACTTGATAGCTATAGTTGGATACACAGTATTTTAGTAGTAACAAATAATTAACCGATACTATAAGAGGTATACGTTAAATAGTGTTGGAAAATATTAATTGCTTAACAGTTTATGAAATGTTTCAGTAAAAAGTCATATAAAGATTTGGATGTATAACCGACAGCAACATCACCTCTTACAAATATATGGTATTGCGTGATTGCACTGAGGTACCACCTGAATAATGAACAATTTTATTATGAGGGTCTGGATGGGGTTTACAGAATAGAGAATAATAGACAAAATAGGAAGTAAAAAGGGCAAACCATTTAACGAATAGAGATAAATAGGCCCCAAAAATATGGAATAGAGAATAACGGGGTGCTAAAATATAAAGAATAGAGAATAATGAGAAAAAAAATTTATTAAATAGAGAAAAATTGCTTAAAAATCAAATACAGAATTGGAGGACCCATCCAGACGCTCAATTATGCATTAATTGTTTTTTATAAGTTTGAATTAATTATTCATAGCAAATATCTTCATGTGCAAAATATTAATCCTGATGCCGATTGAAGAACAGATGCCATGCTAACTCATAAGAACCCTTGCAACAACTCTTTGAGTGGTCCATGTCTGTAGTCTGTTACAATGCCATATATCATCTTCCCTAATGCACAACAACCTTTTCCACGTGGCAGTATAAATATCCTGTCCTTCATCCCGGTCGACTCCTTTAGCAGAACCAATCTTTTGATTATTTATGTTAATATGTTCTCGTCCTGAATATGCATGAAATCATTGCCACCGTACCTAACAGTTATCAGAGAAAATATGTGTTGAAATTATAATTTCTTTGAATGGCAAACACAATCAGACGAAAAGAGTTAACAAATCTATACTTGAAAAAAAAGTTCGTTACGCAAAGAGTCAAACCACAACTCGTCAGATGTATTGAACATATGAATATTTATAAGATCAAATATCGGTATTAAAATGTCAAATATTAAATTATTAACACTTGTGATGTCAGACTTCTTGTGACGCGATTAATCATTACACGTATTCGAACTAGACCCGATATGTACAATTACATGTCAGGTTTACATTTTATTCATTTCTTTCCTGAAGTTTTGCACTAATACATGTTGATTAATTGCATTTTGAAAATGCATTAAATATTTTAACGTAGTTCCTTTTTTTCTTGAAGTTAAGTAAGTATGTAATTCTGAAAGAGAAAAATATAGATGGAAGAAAAAAGGAGCAAACTTTTAAATCGCAAAAAAAAATATAGAATTAAGACAAATTGACTAATCTATTACTATTTTCTCATAAACGTTCAGTAGAGGTATGACAGAAACACTTTACCCAAGACTCCCGAAAACCTTGGTATCTTGTAAAGTTAACATACATATGGTAAAAATCGATATCGAAATCATTTGTTTAAGTAAAATGAAAATAAAGGAAAATAAGGAAATTCACGTTGGTAAAGGGATTTGCATGCATAGAACTATTAAAATAATTAAGTAACAGCTTAAACTTTGTTCCTTTTTCAGAGCACATATGCACAATTATTTTTGATTGTATCTTTTTTATCATTTATCCAAAATGACACAAAGTATTAACGTAATAGACTGATGTGAAAGTTGCTTGTTCCAGTTTTTTCATACATCAAACCAAGTTTATTCCAGTTTTTTCCGTACATAGACCCAGGTCCATTCCATTTTTTCCCGTACATAGACCAAATCTATTCCAGTTTTCCCGTACATTTACCGAATCCTATGCCTGTTTTCCCGTATATAGACCAAATCCATGCCAGTTTTTCCGTACATAGGCCCGAGTCAATGGGAGTTTTACCATACATAGACCCAAGTCCATTCCAGGTTTTTTGGTTCATATATAGACCCAAGTCCAATAAACTCTTAATCGTTAAGATACCAGAAAACATGTGAGAACAACTGCATATGGCCTTCAATTTTTAAGGTATGCAGGTCCTTAACATTGGAATGAGCTGCCAGATGAGCTGCGTAAGCTTTTTTTGTTGTTGCCTGTTTTAATTGTTTAACTAGTCTCTTTGTGCTTTTTTTATATTGCAAACCCTTTTACTTTTGCTTTCACGGTTTTTTAACCACATAATTTTATGCTTAAATATGTGTGTTTAAGCTGATTGATAAAGCTTTTGTGTTTAATGTATGCACAATATGAACTCTTGATTTCTAGGTTTAATTGTATGTATGCATGTCTTGATATGTTCTTATTGTTGGAGTTCGGTATTAAAAGCTCTTCAGAGCTTATATTTGTAATTGTCTTGCATATACCGACTTTAAATGAAGCTTTATATCTTATGTCTTATGTCTTTTATCAATTCCAGTTTTTTCGTAAGTAGACACAATTCCATATACACTGCTACTTTTGCATAGGTACTATTTCTGTACTTAAAATCTGTAGTACTGGAAATTTACTTTTGATATTAAGTACTATTTCTTTACTTTA